ATGAAAGTACAGAGAAATGACAGACCATCTAAAAACTAGCAGAGAGTGAAATATAGAGAATCAGAAAATGAACCCAACAGATCATTACGTTGAACCCTCTTAGCGTGTTGAGACTGTGAGTGAGAAATATGCAAAGAATCTTGGTAAGCAGCAGCTGAGCAGGATATTTGTATAAATGTATTTGGGGTTAGCACAAAATTGAAACATTACAGGGCATCTGGTTCTCCAAGTGAGAATGGGTCTGGCATTTAAGCAAACTGTGGCGTGCAAAATTAACTATATGTCCTAATTCAGATATAGTCTGTGCCGCATTCCTGGCTTGCTTTTTGAAACTCCTTTCTGGTTAAAATATGTGTTTTATTTTTATTTTGCTTATTGTGCTGCATGTATGTTCCTCTATACATCAGTAGTCTCACACAGTTATTAGCAAGCATGGCTTCAGCACAGTACTACAGCATTGCCCTTTGGCTGTATGCTTTTACCCATCTTTATGGCTTACTTAGTAGATGAATGGGCATATCGGTTGATGTCACCACCTGAAAAGCCTTTAGCTCCCTGAGCCATTGTAAAGGGGGATGTTATTTAACATTCTGAAATCCAAAAATGAAAGCAGAGTCTTTTAATTGTCAACATTTGATTTAAAGTTTTATTTTTTAAAGAATAGATTAATGAATTTTGGAACATTAGCCCATCATTCGTGTAATATAAAACTCCTGACAAATTGGCACAATCATTCATCCTGTGCTTCAAATATTATTTGTGCATGTTCTAATGGAAGTAGGCCAACAGACATTACTGTTGTATGTATGTTTACTAGAAGTAAACTTCACTAAGTTCAGTGATTTAAAAGTATATAGGATTGCGAACTAAGATATGTTTAGTTTTTTTTCCCTTACTCAACTTTCTCTATCTTTAATTTCTTTGGAAACCAAATAATGTCTGTTTATCAGACTCTTGAAACATGTTTAAGGAATTTTCTCTCATGAATTTCAGATCTTTTCATCTTGCCCAAATAATAAATTCTACATATGCCACAATTCCAAGAAGTCTTCCAAAGATAGTTCAAAGCAGGTTTCAGTCAAGAAAAGAAAATGATAAAATTTGAACTAGAAAACCTTTTATAGAAAATGTTTCAAATTATTACAGAATGCTTTATGGACATCACAACACAATATTATTTATTTCTAGCATAATATCTTTATTAGATGGGATATTTCTTTGTTAGTGTTACATGCAACAAGATCCTACTGTTCCAGGATACTGCTAGTAAAATGAATTCAGACCTAATCTGAATACGCCATAGGAAGAAAATAAAACTGCACTTTCCTTTGTAACAGTGGATAGGATTACTAGCTCAGGAAGTGGAACTGTTCAATCTCCCTCTCCACCTGTGTTGTCTTTTTTCCTTTTCTCCTCAGTAGAAACTTAGCATACTCAGTGGTTACAGAAAGTAGAATTTTCATTATATTGTTTTGAGGGTGCAAGTTATCAGAAGTCCTTGAGGGTTTTTCCTTGAATATTTTTCTACGGTTCTGTGAAATACATTTCTCCTGAGCAGGGGCTGTACTTTGTTTTTCAGGCCATAGTACTGATGCATTATGCTTGCTTGCACTATGCTCCTGTGCTCATGCTCACCCAGCAAAAGTGACAGAAGCACTCAGCAACCATCCAATCCAGAGTTTTTCAACCTTTTTCATCTCACAGCACACATTTAATAGGTGTGACTTCTGTGTCATGAAACCAGAAGTCCCATGACATCACATGTTGCTGGGACTAGGGAAGAGAAATGGAGGCAGTGCACCCCTGGTGATGTCATGGAGGCAGGGTTCTGGCTCATGTGGCACACTTGCAGACCTTTCATGGCACACCAATGTGCTGCAGCACAGTAATTGAAAACCACTGATCCAACCTCAGAACAAGTTACCAGAAGAATGTTCTAGTTTCTAAGCATGTCCCTTTAATCTGGTATAGAGGAAGCATGACCCCTTCTCTTGCATGATTTATCAAACGTGCATGTTGGACACTTATTTATTTATTTAATATACCAACCCATCTTGTAACTCTTGGTTGTTCACAACAGTTATAAAATACAATTAAATGTTCACGATCAATTAAAATGTAAGCTAATTAAAATTATGCGTATACACAACCTTGATAATGTTCCAATTCACCCCAAAGTGCTCTGAAATAATTTGGAAGGCTATTAATGATGAAGCCAGTCTTTTCTCCAAGGAGAGTCCATTCTAGAAAACTGGGACATAATGGAGTCTTGGGTCCCCTTCACTTCCTGGAAATGGGGCACTACTTCCACATGGGAGAAACGCCTTTGACAGATGATATCTGGCTGGAGAAGGTGATCCCAAAGACACCCAGATGGCAGACCATATAGGATTTCAGACCCACATAGAAGAGTCTTCCAGAAGCAGCACTGGGAACTGGGGGAAGACTTTGGGCCAAATTGCTCCCTTTTTACACTAAAAATACACAGGGAAGGGATTTTTGTTTCTTTGTTTGTTTAGATTTTTTTATCCCACCTTTATAAATAACTCAAGGTGGTAAATATACCTAATACTCCTTCCTCCTCCTATTTTCCCCACAACAACAACCCTGTGAGATGAGTTGGGCTAAGAGACAGTGACTGGTCCAAAGTCACCCAGCCAGTTTTCATGCCTAAGGTCGGACTTAGACCTCACAGTCCCCTGCTTTCTAGCCTGGGGCCTTAACCACTAGGCCAAACTGGTAAGTTATTTATTTATTTATTTAAAGACTTGTATGGCAGCCTATCTTAGAACCACAATTCTGGACAGCTCACAGCCATTGACTTCTCAGTCAATCGTGAAAACACATTTTTCTTATTGCAGAAGTGGCTGTTGCTATGAAGTGCCAATAACAGTAAGTGTCTGCACTGTTTTAAGGTTTTGCACCGAAGAAAGTTGAGTTCTGTGTTTCTAGCACAGCAGAGAGAAAGTGAATGTGTGTTTTAAATATTTTTCCCAGAAACGTATTTTTCAAAAATTAAAAAGGTGGTCCAGAGGATTGTTTGTGGTTCTCTTCCCCTTGAACTCAGCGTCTTAATAGCTGCTTCCCTTGCTTGATTTTTGTGCAATGCACTGTTTTTCTAGTATAGTGAGGTTTGCTATAAGTTCAGTTGCTACACTATATAAGAAAAATGTGGCTCTAACAGATTCCTCAACTCAACAGATTCCGTAACTCAACAGTTATGAAGACATAACTAGTCTTCAGCCTCAAAGAAATAAATGAAATTAAAAATAAGCTTTTAGTAGTTGATTGAACTTTTGAAATGAACATGAAGTTGATTTAGGACACACAGACTGAACTGCATTTTATAACAACGTTAAGAGATTGTTGTTTTCAGCAGCAAAATACTGCCTTTTGGGTACTGGGAAAATCTGATATCCTGGCAACAGAAACATTACTTGGAAGGGGGGCCTCTAGATTATATTTCATGTCACTGAGTGGGAACCAAGAAGGAATTTTAGTACAAAAAACAAGATTCATAGGTTCAAAGGCATATCTGTTAGACACAATCAGTATTAAATCACTGAATAAAGCCCTGTATTTTTAGAGCAACTTTGCCACACAGATAGATAGATAGATAAATATTGTAAAAACTAGAGATGTAACTACTACTGAGCAATAAACAGGAATTATTAAGTAATTGAGAAGTTAAAGAGTAATTGTTTTAGAAAGATTGAATGTAAAAATATTATAACAATATTTTGGTAAAAAGTAGCCTCAGCAATTTTGGGACACTTAGTAAAATGACTATTAAAGAAACAGAGGCAACTTATTTTCTATATGGAAGAGGAAGAACTGAGTAAAAACAATTTAGCTGGTCTATATGCTGTATGTACAATGAGGGGGAGCATGTGAAAGAAGCCAGAAAGGTTAATCAAGTATAGGATGAAATAAGAATTCTACTTCAGTTGTGCATGTTGCCACATGTATATATTGTACAGTGATCATATGTCTTTATTAAGGACAGTCCTTTATTTCAGAAAGCTGTCCTTTAGAATTATTTATTTTTCAAAAACTCACTTTTGTCCTTTATTTTGGTCATTTAACTTTTACCGTACAAATGGTACCGCTTATTCTTGTGAAGAATATGGAAATTGAATTGTCTTTTTAAATAAATTTACATATACTGTTTGATTTTAGATACATTTATTAGAATATGCATTTTTCTTGGTTTTGCTCTTGAATTTTCCTTTGTAAGGCAAAGTTATAAACAATTAATTTTTTTATCCTTATGAACCTCTTTCAGATTTGCCCCTTTTTCAGGTTTGTCCTTTATTTTTCCTTTGTAAGGCAAAGTTATAAACAATTAATTTTTTTATCCTTATGAACCTCTTTCAGATTTGCCCCTTTTTCAGGTTTGTCCTTTATTTTTCCTTTGTAAGGCAAAGTTATAAACAATTAATTTTTTTATCCTTATGAACCTCTTTCAGATTTGCCCCTTTTTCAGGTTTGTCCTTTATTTTTTCCAAGAAAATATGGTCACTGTAATATATTGGCAGTCCCATCTACAATCAGACCAGCTTTCAATATGCTTTGTGATGCTGAAGTTACAGCTTGCTCTCTAGCTATTCAAATGCATTTGCTTCTTACCAGGGAGTTTGCTGGCGAGATTGTTTTAGATCAGTCATCCTGTACACTTTTAAAATGAACTATTGGAAAGAATAGCTGATCAAAGATAGTATCCCTGTCTTATTTATTTCCATTAGCATGTGGTGAATTTGACCTGATTAGATTGATTTGGTTTAGAATTAGAAATATATTTGAACATTACTTACTTCTCCTTGTGGGTTAAAGCCCTTATCAAGTCACTCTGTTAAGTTCATTTGCCAACTTTCTCATTTTTCCATTTGTGGCAGGTGTGGAACCAGTCAACAATGCACCTTGAGGATTGTTTCCATCTGCTTTTGGAATTATTGTACTACCCTGATCTTACCAAAATGGCGTATCTTATTCTGTTACAGATACATTACAGTGATAGACAGAATGGCAAAGAATGCATTACCTACTTGACTCTGTCTCCTGTACAGATGACTTTTTATGGAACTGGAAACTCCACTGAAGCTAGCCATGATCAGGTATGCATAGACTTAATTGACCTCCATTTCTTTTTGTCTATTCCACAATTCATGGCTATGCTTTCATTAATATATGAAAGTTCTAAATTATTCAATGATAAAAATTGTGGCCATTCAGTTTTGCATTCCTCATCATGACAATGGAAAGATTAATTCGGTTCTATCTATGGTAGAAACATGAATATTCTGCTGGCATTTTAAAATTAAAATTATGAAGAGTTGTTTATACATAAAGGTGTGTGTTCCAGTCTGAGTCAACGATATGAGTCCTTTGAAGCAGTTACCAGTGGCCTAGAGACTCATCATATATTTTCAGAATGATGTAAGACCATTGTTCAGGTATTTCTTTCAATACACAGTGAGATTGAGAAACATCCCCTGTGGTTTGGCCCCAACATCTGCTAATTACATATAGTTCTTTACAATATGGATGTTCCATTTTTAGCTATCATAGAAAACAGCTGTTGATAGTCATGTTATCCATTAATATAGCTAATCATTTTGAATACATGAAACATTCATGTTTATTTGTTATTGGTTTATCAGCCCAAAATCCATTGCTGTTTTCTCAAGGCTCCCCAAATCTCAGTATTATGAAAATAGTTCTAGCTTTAACATAATTAATAACCGTATAAATCTTTTTCAACTTTCTCCTTATTTTATTTTTACTACTTTATTTTAAAATACTATAAATATTTTGCAAATTTTTGGTGTATTATATCTCAAGCAAATACTAAGCAATAAATAATAACACAAATAATTTCCAGATGAGGCAGAAAAAGAAAAAATTATATATAAACAAAACCACATTTAAGAGCACTTAATAACATTAAGAAATAGCTTTACAGATACATTACAAGAAATAAAAATCAGAATAAGAAACATAAATATAAAAGCATACTGAGGAAGCTGAAAAATATTCAGGTAAAATTCTTAAAATGAATTATAATCAGAAGTACATTTTGATCAAAATACTTGAATATATGTATATAAATTCATAATATTTTACAGATTTATAAATTTATTTTTTTCCTAATGATTTGTCATATATATTTGTCCATTATATATAAAATATTCTGCACACTATTTAGCTGCTTAGGAATCTCATATCCTTTTCTAGTTCTAGTTTCCTTTAAATGTATCCTTTTATAGTTCAACAATATCCTTTTGATATGTGGTTACACAAATTATACACTGTATTATAAATTAAACTTTGCAGAGGTTTACATAATGGTATAGTGATTCTGGCTATTTTATTTTCAGTATTCCTCTTATTCATTCGTAATATTTACTATAGTGTTTTCACTACCACACAAAATGAGACATTATTTATCAGTCCTCATAATATGTAAATGCTAAGCAATGGTTCTTTATACTTTATATCCTTTGTAAAATAGTTCATACAGTTTTCTGACTTCTAGTGTTAATTTCTGATTTTCCTATATTTGAAAAGCTAATTAAATCATATTTAACATGCATTTAATAATACTAAATTAAATTCATAAAATACTTCAAAATTATTTTAACTGATTATAAGGATTTTCACATTTTTCACTGTCAAACTATAACCTGCATACTTGACAAATCTCATCTTTCACCATGAAAATATGTCCTTCAAACATAATGTTTCTGTTATGATAGTCATCCAATAAGGTTTTACATGTGCCTAGAAGATTATGGTATGTTTTTCCTGATTGTTTGGCCTTTTTGGGGGTTTTTTTATATAAAAACCATTATATCTCAATCCTTTTCTTTGTCTTCTGTTTCATATTAAGTTAATTTCTCTCTCATGTATAGGAAATATATGACAGAATGTTTACTTTTCTGGCAATAGCTGGAGATTTTTCTGGCACACAACCTATAAAAACAATACATTTGCATAGAATGTGATATTTCTTCCACACAAGTAAGTTATTAGTTGTATCCCAAATGCAATTAGAATGTAAACCGACTACAAGACAGAATTACTACCATTGTGTATTTTTTCAATATTTAGGGCAGCTTCACCCAATAGATATTTTGAGATTGTGACTTCCAGAATTCCCAGCCAGCAAGCGGGGAGTTTCAGTCTTGATATATCTGGAGGGCACTAGGTTGGGGAAGGTAAATCTAAGTAAATGCAAGACTAACATGTTTATTATCTCACTCCTGATTCCCTCAGGCAGTAATATGTGATAAGAGTAGGGAAGATACATAATAAAAAGGCCCCATGTTACATGTTCATAAAAGGTTGTAAAGGAAGAGGGATCGGAGACACTGAAAGCAGAAGTAGTAAAATTCTCAGTCTATTTAATGAAGTCCAAAGTGTGTAATCTCAGTATATGCAACAACAAACTAATCAGAGTGGTGATCAGAGTGTTCAGAATGGAACTATATTCTAGGACCTAGTTATTACTAACTTTTTATGTTTTCAGTAAGTTATGTTTCATTCTCAAACTGTTTCTATGTACTTTTATTCTTTGGTTCAAGAAACCATGCACGGGCCAGTACAAAATGCCACTTTGATCGGCAGTTCTCAATTCTTTCCTCTGAATGTTGACTAAGTACTATTTTCTGAAACAGATTCAAGTTTGTCTCAAGTTATTATATCGTATTCTATGTATCTAATTCATGCATCACTTCAGCTTGAATTTTCTAATGATTTAAGATTGAGCTGTACTCAAAGCTCTTCACTGAGAAGGTTCTATTTTCCATCACTCCATTATGCAGTCTCATCATAAAGCTTTAACTTTGGCTTTTCTTCCTGGTCTTATTATCTGTCCAAAGAGATGGAAGAATTTCATTAAAAGATAAAAGGCTTAACTGCAAAGATAATAGTTGCAGAACCAAGTGCTCTTCCACATTTAGATTAGATTGGTTTATTGCCTGATAGCTTCTTAATAATTTCAAAGCAACTGCAATGTTCTGTCATAATCCATTTCTTGATCTAAGGCAGATTTTAAAATGTGCATGTTAGAGAAGTAAGCCAATCTAGATTTTGGAGCTAATCGCAGACTGGAAACCAGGAACCAGCAATAAGTAAAAGTATAAAACACGGCAGAGAAGGGTTGCTCTTTTTTGATATTAGTGACATTTTTTGCAGTACCTCTCTGGCATTGGCACCTTTTGTAGATAATTTCAAGAGACACAACAGCAAGTATGTGCATAGATTAGATAATTACTGAGTGGTAAAGTTATTTAACTTGGCTGTCAACCATTTCAGGCAAATATTTTGCAGTGGATAAGCTAGAGAAGAGACTAGTATTTTCTGAAAAATGCACTTAATTTATTTTTAAATGATTAGAAAATTCAAGCTGAAGTGATGCATGAATTAGATACATAGAATACGATATAATAACTTGAGACACATTTTTAAAACCAAATGCTACTGATAGCTGTATAAATGTTTGGAGAATCAGCTTCGAGAATGTTTGGGCTTGCTCAAACATACTGCTTTAACACTCCAAGTCCTCCAGGCTGCAGAAGCCCTTTAGAAGCCTTGGCTGAGTCCAGCCACAATCACTCCTGAATGATGAAAATATGCCACCAAATTTGAAGCGCAAAATCAGCAGTTTTAAGCAGACTGAGGTAAGCACCATTTTAAAAGTTCTATTGAAGTCTCACTTGATGGGAAAAAAAGGATTTTCAGTATGTAAGTTACACACATAGTAATACTCTTTATATACTACATTTGTATTGCCCTATTTGGATTACATCAGTTGTAAAATTATTTGGGGGAACTACTTCAAAACTAGCTTTTTAAAATCTTTGCTAAAATTAATGTGCCATGTACACAAAATAACTTGTATTATCTGGTATTCTGCAATTGGCAGTATGGATTAGAATATTCATTCAAGATATTTTTAGTTCTGTTCTTCAACTGCGCAAGGATGAAAAAATTCTATCAGTGTTTGTAACTATGTACTACTGACACCAGTCCTATTGTCACAATTACATGGCATGAAAGAAGCTATCCTTGGGGATTAAGATGAGATTCCACCAAGTTAGGAAAAAAAAAATTCTTAGCGATTCAGAACTGAAAAGCGTCCTTTGATTATTCTATCCTTATTTTGACATAGAAGAAAAATACATATTACACACTGGAACCCAATTTGTTCCACTGTTATACAGGTAGTCCTCAACTTACAATCATTTGTTTAGTGACTGTTCAAAGTTACAACAGTGCTGAAAAAAGTGACCTATGACTGGTCCTCACACTTACGACTGTCGCAGCATCCCCATGGTAACATAATCAAAATTCTGGCGCTTGGCAACTGGGATGTATTTACGATGGTTGCAGCATCCTGGGATTACGTGATCACCATTTGCAACCCTCCCAGCTGGCTTCCAACAAGTATAATCAATGGGGAACCATGTGATTCACTTAACAACCGTGATATTTGCTTAATGACTGCCGCAAAAATGTCATAAAATCGGGTGCAGTCATGTGATGCCTCGCTTAATGATTGCACCCTATTTTTCCGGTCCCTATTGTGGTCATAAGTCGAGGACTGCCTATATTACCTGGCATCTAAATGAATTGCTAGGAAATTATCCCTTCCAACATAATTTAATGCATCATAATTTAACCTGATGTTTAAAATTAAACTGGGAATAAAATGGCCTTACTACATGAGATACCAGCAGGTGGTAGAGAGTCATTGGCTCTATAGAGCAGGTCCATGAAGTTTTGTTTTGAGCAAAGTTCTCAGTCTCCATTGCTTTGCTTTCATAGTAACATATACCATTTATCTTCACCTTTTAGCAAGATATATATAGTCATTCATTATATTCAGAGTAAGAAGAGACAAGTTTTAATGCACTATACTTTTATATGTGACAGTGTTTCTTTTGCATATTGGATTAGAACAGAACAGAACTTCTATAAAAGCAAATATAGGTCAGTATTAAAGTAAGTCAAGAAACTGTAAATGCCGGTGTGATTTAATGGTTAGGGTGTTGAAGGTGTCTTCACTTGACTATGGAGTTAATAATTGCTTCTCACCAAACTCATCTCATAG